AATAACAAATCCCCTGGACCTGGAAAAGTGCCCGCTGAAGTATTAAAAATTATAACAGAATTAAACCCTAAGTATATACTCTCTGTATACAATCAAATGGCTTATGAATTAAAGTTTCCTACTGATTGGAAGAAAGCAAAACTTATTTTATTGCCGAAAAGAAATAAAGAAATTCATGATCCAACAGCATACAGACCCATTAGTTTACTGGACGTAGAGGGAAAGCTAAAAGAAGAACTCTCGCAGCCCGATAAAAGTCTCTCCGAAAAGCAGTACGGCTTTAGGAAGGGTCGACAAACTGTTGATGCCATACGTGAGGTACTGAGAATTGCGGATGATGCGGCAAACTTTGCTCCCCAGAACCGAAGAATCTGTGCAGTCATCACTCTTGATGTGCAAAATGCATTTAACAGCGCCTCGTGGCAACACATTTTAGAGGCATTAGATAGAAGAGGCATACAGAAGAATTTGATCAAGCTCATAGCATCATATCTTTCAAATCGGTCAATACAGATCGAAGCGGAGAATACTATGAAAACGCTAACTATTAATAGTGGTGTACCGCAAGGCTCAGTTTTGGGTCCTACATTGTGGAACATTTTATATGATGACTTGCTTAAAGTAGAAATGCCCGAAGGGCGTTACATTAATAGGGTTTGCAGATGATGTGGCTATGGTAGCAGTAGCCAAAAATGAATGCATATTAATGGATATTGTTAACACCTCGCTGCTGAGAACGTGCAAATGGCTGCTTAGCAGAAACTTGAGGTTGGCCCCGCAGAAGACTGAAGCCGTTCTTTTAACTACAAAAAGAAAGCTCTAAAGTCTCCTATAATGTTTCCTATAATGTTTCAGATAACAGACACTATAGTTATGCCTAAGCGAGCTATTAAGTACCTTGGCGTGTGGCTAGACACAAAAAGAACCTTCGCTGAGCATATAAATAAAACTATAGAAAAGATCGAGAACACCACACGTTTATTAACTCGACTTTTACCAAATATCGGAGGACCAAGATCATCTAGAAGGCGAGTTCTCATGGGTGTGATGCACTCACAAATTCTATATGCGGCTCCAGCGTGGCACAAGGTGACGGAAAGCAAAAGACTGGTACAAAAGCTAGGTAGAATTCAGAGAACTGCATGCATCCGAGTTGCATGTGCGTATCGTTCAATATCTGGAGAAGCCGTAAATGTAACATCGAAAATTCCTCCCATAGAACTACAAATAACAGAAAGGCTTGAAGTTTATGAGGGTATTGCAAAAGAAGAAGCCCGAAAGAACCAAATGAGACGCTGGCAGCAAAAATGGGACAACGGAAAATACGGACACTGGACGCACAGGCTGATCCCAGATATTGAGACGTGGATGAACTCAAAGGGTGAAGTGGACTACTTTTTGACTCAAGCACTTTCAGGACACGGGTGTTTTAGACAGTATCTCTTTCAACGGAAAAGGTCCAATACTGACCTTTGCAAATACTGCGGCACAGTAGATGACGTTGAGCATACACTGTACGACTGTTCCCGGTGGAGTCAACAAAGATATCGATTCCAAATACTTACAGGACTTACATTTAATAGCTGTAATATGATGGAAAGTTTAACAAAGGGCATAGAATCATGGGAATGTGCATATAGGACGGTCAGAGACATAATTGAGACTAAAGAAAAAGAACATCTACTTTAGACAGCCTAATGTACTGAAGAAATGCGAGAGCGGTTACCGGTGCATTGAAGGCAAAACGAGGGGAGGAGGGTTTTTTTAGTCGGTAAGAATCCGACACTACTCAGCTATGGGTGTCTTATGGAAGATTTTTTCTCTCCTCATCGAAAAAAAAAACTATGGAGCAACGGACAAGCAATGTTAGTAAATGATGTCACAAACTTATATTGTTTGACTAACTTCACTGAATATTATGTTTTTGTGCTGTGAGAGATTGTATTGTTTGTTTTTGGATTCTAATTTTTGTCAAGTTTGTGATATATAACACTGATGAAGGCTGAAATGTTGGCCGAAACGTTTGTTCGTAGAATAAATAAAGATTAAAAAAATAGAAACATAATTCAGCATTTTCGGAACCTGGTGCCCAAGAAAAATAATATAAGAATATTTCAATACAAGGTTCAAGAACTTGAAATTTCCAAGAGAAATAATACTGCGTCTATCTGCGAAAGCATTAAAAAAATTTAAATACTTTAAATAAAAATATTGTTCATTTTTTAACTCTCCAACTAATAAAAAATAATATAGAGTGTTTCATTAGAAAAAGAACAAAGGGAACTATTTTATGCAAGTTTCTAAGCAAAGGGAGATGCGAAAAGGAAATCGATGGTAAAGGCAGAAAGGTGATAGGAGCGCTGAACTCGGTGCTTTGGTCTAGGGATATCTCGGATCATAGAAAAAAACTGATCTATAACGCGATCCTGAAAAGAGTATTGTTATGTGGCTCTAAGGTATGGCAGTTAACAGAAAGACAAAAAAAGAAGTTGTCGACCGAAATGGACTTCTGGCTGAGATCATTCCGAATCTCCCGTTTAGACAGAATTAGGAACGAGAAAATACGTGACAAAATGAAGGTGGAGGGTAATATTGTACAAGAAATACAATAAAGACAGCTGCAGTGGTACGGCCATGTACAACGAATGGCGGACGAGAGAATACCAAAGCAAGTGTTGCAGTGGACACCTACTGAGAGACGGAAACGAGGCCGACCTAAACTTTCTTGGAATCAAGGAATCGATAGAGCCATGTCGGAAAAGAACATACTACTAGGAGATTGGGACAACAGACTTGGAGCACATGGAGACCGGAGGGCGATGAAGGACGCTATAAAACCGGATATACATACAAATAAAGAGTGATTCCTTATAAGTTTGGTTGTGTGTACTAAACACTTTTTTAATTCTCATAATTTCCTTTTTTTACTGAATCTTACGTTTTACATGTCATGCAAAACTGACAGGTAAAACCTTATGTGTAGGGCCTACAGGATTACAAAAACATGAAAAAAGAAAAAACTGCAAAAATGTTTTCAATTGCCGTCCAATTCAAGCATTAACTGAGATTTAAATTGAATGGCTCCATCGCTTAATAGCTCGATGATACGAGCTACGGACTAGACACGTTTCGATTCTCGTGCAAAAGGTGCGGTTTGGGTTTGCAGTTCATGGTCGAGAACGCTGTGTAACATTTCCAGTACTATCGGAATCTCCTTGTTTATTCACTCGATCCGTTGCTAAACAACGGACGAGAAGCATTGCAGAAGAATGGAAAAAGGTAAATAAAATGACGGGGAGTGTTTTTCTATTGTGTCTTGAAGATCGTGTTCCGCGTTGGACTTTTGCGTCAGGAGGCTGTCTATAAGAGAAATGTCGGTTATATGAATCATATTAGAGGAGTTCCTTTCTGAACCTTTTGATTCAACTATTTTTTTGTATACAGGGTGGTCCGAACTGTATTCCGGAAACTTCGGCCGCATATTCTGCAGATAAAAAGAAGTAAAAAAGTTCGTATAAATATATGTCCTAAAATGTTTAGTTTTGGATTTAGTTTTTGACATGAGAAATTTGATTTTTGGTGTCAATATGACTCTAATTTGTAGGGGGCGCCACCTACTTGTGTTTTAACTAAAGGTAATATCTTTTTGTTCGTACCTGTAATATCATAATATAATTAATATATAATAATAATAAATATTTATATAATATATATAAAGTATAAATATTTGTTGTACCTGTATAATAAGAACCTGTATATATCTTTTTGTTCGTACCTGTATAACCTTGTTCGTACCTGTACTGAGTGAAAAAATATACATTTCCATGACATTCTACATAACAAATATTTCTTGGTGAAAATCGCTACAATAAATTGTTCTCAAGATATTTCGAATGGAAATAGTCAATACATGTCATTATTGACAAAAAAATAAACATGTTCAGTAGATAGTTATTTGACTGAAAAAATAAATTTGAGAAATTTTTATTTTTTTAATCATAATTTTTTCTGCGAAAAAAAATGATGATAAAACAGTTTCTCTTCAACTTTTGACACAAAATCATTTCAAATTTATGATTTCAGTCTAATAACTATTTAGTCAACCATGTTTAATTTATGTCAATGATGACAGGTATTGATAAATTCGAATCCAAATATCTCGAGAACCATTACTCATAACGATTTTTACCGAGAGACCTTTTCTACGTAAAAAACGTCGAAAATATATATTCTTTTACTCAGTAGTTTTACACAGGTGCGGACGAAAAGTTATTACTCTTTAAACCAGTTAAAAAATATGTAGGTGGCGCCCTTTACAAGCAGGTATCATATTGACATGAAAATCAAATTTCTCATGTCAAAAAACTTCCACACAACAATATTCACCCAAATATTGACGTTACTTCCGAAATTACTTGGAAAAAAACGAAATGAAAACTTCTAGACCCTGTATTTCCGAAACTAAGCATTTTAGAACATATTTATACGAACTTTTTTACTTATTTTTATATTACAGCTGAGGGTTGGAACCTTTGGTGTTACACAGCAAAATAAAACACTAAATTTTAAGTGTTGGTGTATTCTGATGATTTAGTGTTTTATTTTGCTATTTTTATATGCATAATATGATACTGAAGTTTCCGGAATACAATTTGTACATATACAAGGTGGTCGTATATTACTACAGTAATAGATTTTAATATTTTTAATTTTGCTTATTTTACAGAAGACCATCTAGAAAACTGACGGCAGTGCTCAAGACGGTCCTCCATCGTCTCCAAGTTTAGTTAAAATGTTAATTTTATAAATATATGGATGTGATAAATTTTATATTGGTGAAACATCTAGACCGTTAAATATTCGAATTAAAGAACATAAATATTATTTAAGAAAGAGCAATTCTCACAAATCTGAGATTTGTCAGCATTCATGAGACATTAAAGACGTAGAGAATAGATTTGAACAACGCAAAAAATGAAGAATTTTGGTTTTTCGGGTTATTATGGTTTCGGGTTATATTCCGGAACTGGTCTACTTCTCTGTGCTGCTACTTTGGTCCTAGATATAGCTGGATGCCAAATTCTGTTAAGGTAGAAAGTTTCTTCCTTCCTGTTGAAATTATTTGGATGTTTGTGAATTTCAACAGCTTCCCTGATCAGACGAGGATGATATCCAGATGTTGTGGCAATGAATCTCGTTCCTACTGGGCGTTTGCCAGTTCCAATATATACGCTACCGCAGGAACAAGGTATACGGTAGATCCCTGCAGAGGATGATAATGGTTCTCTTTTGTCTTTGGCTGGTCTTAGGCAGTCCCTTATTTTCCGGGTAGGTTTGTATATGGTTTTGATGTTATGCTTCTTGAGAACTTTACCAATCCTATCGGTGACCTGGGAAACATATGGAAGGAAGGCCTTATTAATGATGTTTTCCTGTTCATTGACGGCAGGTCTCCTCTGCCTAGGTGCCAGCGCCGCATTTATTTCTCTGTCATTATAGCCATTGGCAAGAAAGGCTTTATTTGAATGACTTAGTTCCTCTTGGATGTGTTCATTAGCACAGATACGTCTTGCCCTATTTGGTCGCCATTTCTATTGACAAGCACATCGAGGAAGGCCAGTTGGTTGTTTACTTCGGTTTCCATGGTAAATTTTATGCTCGGGCTCTGCGAATTAAGGTGATGAAGGAAGTCATCTAGGCTGTCACGTCCATGTTTCCAAACCACAAATGTATCGTCCACATAACGAAACCATACAGCGGGCTTCAAAACGGATGACTCTAGCGCTTTTTCTTTAAATCTCCTTATAAAGAAATTAGCAATTATTGGGCTGATTGGGCTACCCATTGCGACACCTTCTGTTTGTTCGTAATAATTGCCGTTCCATAAGAAATAGCTACCAGTCAGACACACTCGGAAGAGCTCCGCGATGTCAGGTGGGAATGATTCCTTGATTAGATTCATTGACTCGCCTAGGGGTACTCTCGTGAATAGAGATACCACATCGAAGCTTACCATGATGTCAGATGGTTCCAGTTTTATATCTTTTAGCTTTTGGACGAAATTCGTTGAATCCTTCACATAAGAGTTTGGGTTTGCCGACTTTCGGTTGTAGAATCGTAGTCAAGTATTTAGCTAAGTTATAAGTAGGCCATCCTGGAGCACTCACTATCGGTCTAAGTGGGACACTACCTTTATGAATTTTTGGTAGTCCATAAAGGCGTGGTGGTTGAGCTTCCGAGTTAATTAATTACCATGGAAACCGAAGTAAACAACCAACTGGCCTTCCTCGATGTGCTTGTCAAGAGAAATGGCGACCTCTTGGATCACACGGTGTATCGAAAACCCACTCATACAGACCGGTACTTACAAAAACTTACAAATGACCATCCAAGCCAAAAACAGGGGATTATCGGAACATTAGCAAATAGGGCAAGACGTATCTGTGCTAATGAACACATCCAAGAGGAACTAAGTCATTTAAATAAAGCCTATCTTGCCAGTGGCTATAATGATAGAGAAATAAAGGCGGCGCTGGCACCTAGGCAGAGGAGACCTGCCGTCAATGAACAGGAAAACATCATTAATAAGGCCTTCCTTCCATATGTTTCCCAGGTCACCGATAGGATTGGTAAAGTTCTCAAGAAGCATAACATCAAAACCATATACAAACCTACCCGGAAAATAAGGGACTGCCTAAGACCAGCCAAAGACAAAAGAGATCCATTATCCTCTGCAGGGATCTACCGTATACCTTGTTCCTGCTGTAGCGTATATATTGAAACTACCAAACGCTCAGTAGGAACGAGACTTACAGAACACAAGAACAAGGAGCAAACATACCTCTGAAGATGCTAGCCACTCGTGCTAGCGAAACGTTAGGAAGCAATTCTAACCGACGACGGCCTAATAACCCGAAAAACCAAAATTCTTCAAACGATGGCCGCGAAAGCCTAAACTACTACATTAGACGCAAAAAATATTATGAAAGAAAACGAAGCTAAAAAACACGCTTTTTAACACAGTCTAATAAAAATAAATATATTGCTCACCGTAAAATTATGTTTTAGAAAAATTTACACATGAAATTATTGCACAGGGTGTTTTAAAGTTAGGGTAAAAAACAACCCCTCGATTAACCCTGTATAATATGTCAAAAACTAAAATTTATAAAAACTGAGTTTACGACTTAAACGTTGACGTAATTATATACAGCTTGCTAAAAATTCATGAAAATAGAGCTAAAAATAACAAAAATATTACACTTTAAATATGACCAAAAATTTCTGCGTTGCGTTTTTTTTGCATCTGATATTTTTTTTTTCTTCTGCAATAAAAACCATAATCGTTATAAGTATACTTAAATGATAATTAAAATCAACTATGATTCAATTTAATCACCTGAAAAAAATACGTATGTACAATATGTAGTTCATATTATTGATTATTCGTTCTCGTTTGCAAAACAATACTGAATATTAACGGAAAAAAATCTTTGGGAGTGCTGGTATTACAATGTTTGCAATACGTGTTCCGCGTTGGTATTTTAAATTAACTGTCAATAAAAAATACTTCAAGAATAAATGAGGCGGACCGTTGTTACTCTTTGATATTTTCTTGCGGCAGATCCTGTAGGTGCATTGTTGAAATATTTTTAATATATAAATGCTAAATATAGAACAATAAGAATTTGAATTAGACATCCTACGTACGAAAGGTATTTTTCATGTCTTAGCACGTGGGATCTGTTCAATTTTTATTCAAAAGCTTATTGGTACATTTTGTTATGATAGATACCGCGTTCAATTTAAAGAGAAGATTAATTTTGTGAAAAAAAAACTATGGTATTTCGCCACTGAAAGTGAATCTAAAAAATAAAAATAAAATAAACACCAATGCGTTGACTCTAAATCGAATTTACCGACAATTTGTGATAACAATTATAATAAACAAAATAAAACACTAAATCACCACAATACACCAAAACACTTTTACTTTTACACTGGACGCGCGTTTCGCTAACCATGTTAGCATCATCAGCAGCATAATCAATCATAAGTTTATAATCATCTGCTGATGATGCTAACATGGTTAGCGAAACGCGCGTCCAGTGTAAAAGTAAAAGTGTTTGCTAAAACACATTTACTTGTTGGTGTATTGTGGTGATTTAGTGTTTTATTTTGCTGTGTAACACCAAAGGTTCCAACCCTCAACTGTAATAGTTATAATAAAAATCTACATATTATATGTATAAAATGCTAATGTTTATCTGTGTCGTCTCTACTGAAGTAACGACTTGCTCTAGAGAGTTGCTTTTTTTACTAAAGGATAACTAATTGGCTCTTCTAAAAACTGTCGTCGCCGGATTTTTTGTTTTTCATTTAATTAAAAAAAAAGTATTTTTTTCCTGATCTCGTGACGGATGCGCCAGGCTTCATCTAGTATAATATATTTTTTTAATATATCGGGTGGCGTCTCACTTGGCCCACCCCTATAACTTTTTTATTTTTTTAGATATAAAAACAAGTTTTGGTATGTAAGTATATAACATAAATTAGGATTAATTAATTGTATTCAGTTATTTTTGGTCACTCCGTTTCACCGGAAGTGACTACAACTTCTCATTTTTAAATAGCACCCTCGGTATATTTCTACTTTATTCGATAGAAAATGGCACTCTGAATAGAATGACATATCAAATGTCAACTTTTGACGTTTTCGCATATGGTTTATTTTAAATTGTAACATGCGGTTCGTAACGACAATTTGACTCGACATACCAAGAGTGTGGTACCAAATTGTTCCTAAAAAAATATTTTTCCAAATATGCTAATGAGCCACACTTGTTCCAATTAAAAAAATGAGATATTAGTAAAAATATGATTTTTGCATCTTTTAACCGGTCAGGACAAGACCCGAAAAACATAGACAATCAAATCTGTTTTTCCAAGGCTTCTAGATTAAAAAATAGTGTTTTTTAATCTAGACACTTTAAAAGTTGACATCATCATCATCATGTAGCCATCGTTGTCCACTGCTGAACGTAGGCCTCCTCCATATTTCTCCATGTCTCTCGATTTTGGGCCGTCATCATCCAATTTCCAGCAATCCTCTTTACATCATCGGTCCAGCGTGTCGGTTGTCTGCCTCTGCTACGTTTATCTGCTCGAGGTCGCCATTCTAACAATCTTCTAGTCCACCTGTCTTTAGATGTTCTCGCCACATTACCTGCCCATCTCCATTTCATTCGAGTTACGTGTTCCACTATGTCTTTAATTTTGGTTTTTTTGTCTGATAGTGTTATTAGGAATTTTGTCTCTTTTAGTTATTCCAAGCATGGCTCTCTCCATGGCTTTCTGGGCTACTCTTAAATTCTCTGCTGACTTTTTCGTTAATGTTAGAGTTTCCGCTCCATATGTAATTACCGGCAATTAATTATATTGTTCATAAACTTTCCTCTTCAAGCATATGGGTATATCACTTTTAAAGGTCTCCCGCAGTTTGCCAAAAGCAGCCCAACCCAAACCTATTCTGCGCTGTATCTCGTGTGTTTGGTTGTTCTTTCCAATTTGTATTTCGTGCCCGAGATATTTGTATATATGTGTTTTGACTTTTATGTCGGCGTCACCTATTCTGATGTTCTGTGTCAGCACTAAGTTTGTCATTATTTGCGTTTTACTCGTATTTATCCGGAGACCGACTTTTAATGAGGCCTGCACTAATTCTTCGAGCATCTGCTTTGAATCTCCGATATTATCTGAGACAAGGACGATGTCATCTGCGAATCTGAGATGTGTCAACCTTTCACCATCGATATTTATGCCCCTATTCTCCCAAGAAATTTCATTGCGTATTCAAGGACAGCTGTAAAAAGTTTAGGCGAAATAGTATCCCCTTGTCGAACTCCTTCGCCTACCCCAATTTTATCTGTTGTTTCGTGAAGTTTTACAGTTGTGTTGGCATTACTATATATGTATTCTATAAGCCTTGTATACCTATAATCTACTCTTCCCTGCTCCAATGCTGCTATTATTGATGTTAATTCTACTGTGTCAAATGCTTTCTGGAAATCAACGAACACCAATGCTAGTCATACTACTAAATACATACACCAATGCTAAATACTAAAAACACCACTGCTAGTCATAATACTAAAAAAGTTGACATACGATATGTTATTCTACTCTGAGTGTCATTTTCTATCAAATAAATTAGAAATATACCGAGGGTACCATTTAATAATCAAAAGTTGTAGTCATTTCCGGTGAAACAGGAACTGATCAAAAACAATTGAATACGTCAATAAATCCTAATTTATGTCATATTACTAACATGCCAAATCCCGTTTATTTATCTGAAAAAACAAAAAAATTATAGAAATGAGCTATTTTCGGGACGCACCCGGTAAATTTACAAAATACCGTACGATCGAAAAAAACGGCATCCATTTGGCTTGGAAATGACGATGGATGATATTACCCATATAATTTCACATTTAATGTGACAGCGATCTTTATTTCATAGCCATTGTTGACACCGGTTTTTTTTTTCATCATACGGTATGTGTTTATATTACTCCAGTTTAAGTTTCTTATTGCCTCAATTTTATTTTTAATTTTTGCAGGAATTTCACACGAACATGTCATTTATTCGGCTTATAGAGTTTTTGCTGAAGAAAACATATAACATATTATGTTTTTATAGTATTCCTTTATTGTTTCTTTTACAAATAATAAAAGAAAACAAGAGAAATGAAACAGTTATGTTGGAGATACATGCTATTTTTCTTTTCCGCTACATTTAACATCGTGGAGTTATAAGCGTCGGTGCCAAGTTCATTAATGATTTTGAAAATTAAGAAAGTGTGTTTAATATACTTACACGAAGAAAGTAATAAATGGTTCACTTTTTCTACTGACAATGTCAAATTAATAATAGTGCCTACTTATTCCTGTAACTGAGAAAGGCAGAAAAATATTTATGGATTACTAGGTATTAATTGTATTAATTTTAAATTAGATAAAACATATATCTCTTGCAATGGTCGGTATTTATAAAATTTCAAGTGAGGATCATAATCATAGGTAGATCTTGCAACTACAAGATCAGTGCTAATCAGATTTAAAGAACATATGCCTCAATTAATGCGGCTAATTAATGCATATGGATGTTTTGAACAGATATATTCTTATCTAATTTCTTTTAGTTCTCTTTCCTGTTGGTCTATTCTTTTTAATTGGTTGTTACGCTCGTTCTTTCGCTTTGTTGATTTTCCACTCTTGGTAGATACCAACCGAGTGCCTATACAAATGCCCAATTTAAAAATAATCGTTTTGATTTAACCATGGGCTGGTGATGGAACAATGGTTCGCGCAACGCGGCAGTTTTAAGAGGAAAAGTGTTTTGATATACTGTGGAGAACTAAAGTTCTATATTGCTTACATAACGTAGTTTTACTGAAAATACTTAGGCTGGATTCTATTGTAAAAGCAGCTTAACTAGGTAGGTAAACTCTGAAAAGTATCGGTAGAATACGGAACAGTTTGATAAAATAGTAAAACTCCCAAATATTAACGATTTTTAAAATATACAATTCTTATAATAGAATGTTCATTTCATGCTTGTTTTTGAAAAGTGTACTAAATAAACTGTAAACAGCTCAAACAGTTTCATTTTTCGCAACATTTTTTTCAAAAAGCAGTCTTTTGTGTTGGTTAAATTGGTGGCAATTTAAAAACATGCAAAACAGATAAACGGAACAGAAAACCATAATAAAGGTAAGAAACGTAATACAGTCTTAGTGTTATTTGTTAACCAGGTATACAGATGCATTAGAAAGTCGGAAGGCA